CATGCACATGATGCATATATAATGCTGCTTCACAGTTTAGACAAAAATGGTTAGCTCATGCATTTACATTCCTGCATTCATCAACACAAGCAACACAACATAGAGCTAATTTACACAACATCACCTTGCAATTCATGCTTGGCTTTGCACAACACACCTGCTGGGTGTGTACACACTAAAAAGGTGTTTAGATTCCACCCATAGATCATGCTGGGAGGGAACACATTACAGAGGTGTATACATGTTCGTGGTGTGTTTATAAGGTTAGTAAATCAACCCCATTCTGTGTTAATAGGATAGAAACAAAAAAATACATTTTAAAACACCCTCAGTTGCCAGTTTTCATTATATACATATCAACCTCAGTGATCAGTCTTCAGATATGTGTATTAACCATCAGAAATCAGAGTATTAACACTTCTGCCTTGCAGCACTCAGGGTCCCCAGTTCAAATCCCGGTCAAGACACTATCTGCATGGAGTTTGCAAATTCTCCCAGTGTTTGCGTGGGTTTCCTCCAGGTACTCCGGTTTCCTCCCAAACTCAAAGGACATCCAGGAAGATTATTTGGCTTCTCTCTAAATTGTCCCTGCATGTACGCATGTGAGATAGGGACCTTAGACTCTAAGCTCCTTGAGAGCAGGGACTGATGTGAATGTGCTGCGTAAATTGTTGGAGGTATACAAATACCGTTAAATAAATAAATATTGCATTATGCCTCCGTGGCAGTTAACAACAGTGATTATAAAATGCTTTGAGAGAAAGGTGTCAGACTATATTAAAGCCAGACTGCCTCCTGGGTTTGACTACAAGGAAAAGTAGAAAAACTGAAGATGCAGTTTTATTGCCACTTAGAGAAGCAGAATATTTATGTGAGAATGCTATTTGTAGCTATTAGTTCAGCTCTAAATTCTAATCGTCGTTTTCCTGACACATGTTTGCATGCGTGTATGTATTGGTGGGGACTTTAAAAACAAATTTGTGTTTTTTTTCAATTCCTTTTCATGTGTGGCTAATTTTTTTTGCAAGCGGGAGGGGGGTACACGGACCGGCAGCTTATACAAGCGATCCGCCGGGTCTATAGCCGGGGGATCGCTTGTATGTTAACAGGCATCGCTGCCTGTTCTAAAATTTAGGCAGTTTCCTGCTTGCACGAGTGGGCGGACCTGGCGGGGCGTTCAAATACGCCCGCTCAGATCTAGGAAGTTCCCAGCCGGCTGTATCCTTACAACGGCCTGCCGGGAGGCGGTTAATAGGTTTCCATCTGTGACGATTGGAAAGTGTTTTTTAAATACTACCATTAGAAGAATTGTAATGATTGTATGGCTAGCCACAGTTCTAATCTTGTAATTAAATTTGCAGATGATACCACTGTGATGGGGTTGGTATCTGAAAAAAATTAGACATACTACATAGATTGTAGTTTTAGCTACATTATTCCTGCACCTAGGTGGTGCAGGAATAAGGATTTGCTATTAAATATTAAGACAAAAGGAAATGATCTTGGAATTTAGAAAAAACAATAAAATATATTATGATAAATGATAGATAGATTGGAAGGCGGTGGAAGAGGTAGACAGAGGACATGTAAGCCAGCAACAAAATTAATTAGTTTTGTTTTGTTTCATTTCAGGTTTTTTGTTATCTTGTTTTTCAGGATTCGGGTCCAAAAATTTATTCTGTTCGGGATTTGGTATGAATATTTGTTAATTGCGAACATTTATTCATTGCAGCAAAGTGACAGAAAAAGGAAAAATATGTCCACAAACGAAAATCTGAATTGAAATTCGTACATTCGGATGCATTCGAAATTGTTGTTATTTCTGTCATTGGGAAATTCGGATGCATCTGAATGCACAAATTTCCAAACATTTGTATGAATTTCAATTCGGAAAAAAACTAACTGCACATGTCTAGTAGACAGTATTAAGATATTGGGACACCATTTAGTCAAGGATTTGTCTATAAATATTTTTACTATGAAAGCACAGAAGATTTTTTTAACAGACTTTAAGATAACAGACTCCCACATTAACTTGATGGTATATTTTATTTTTGCATTGGAATATATTCCCATGCCAGTTTATTTAAACTAGCCATTTTTAACAATATTATGTCCATTACCCTTAAAAGATTTAGAAAAATTTTACTTCAATGGGATTTAGCACTAGGTTTGGGTGTACAGTGTACGTCGCTGGCATCGGGGCTGTTTAACAGACTCCTGGCTTTTGCCGCCAGGACTCTGTTTAAACTTGTAAAGTCAACTGTCGGCTTTACAGTAGAAGCGCTTCTGGCGGCTTAGCTGAAAATCCTTCTCCTCCCGTACATGTCATATAATTTACTTCTTGTAGTGTGCCTTATCTTATACCATATTTACTAAATAGTCTTACTTATCAGATACATTTCTTAATATGTATTATTAAGCATAAGATAAATATGGAATCTGAAAATGTGATTCAGCAGTGATCATCAATTCTCTTTACACATGGACTTCCTGCTGGGTTTGCAAATCCAGCCAAGGTAATTCATCCCTAGCAGTCACTGTAAAATCTCCCATTACTTTGGTGATCAGAATGCATTTCCCTGTTATATTAGAAGTCTGTATTAATTTCCCAATTACATAGGTGGTCAGTGTTAATGCATCTGTGGTGAATGAATTTCATCTGCTACATTGGTAGTCAGTGCAAATTCCCCTTTTACATTGGTGGTCAGTGTAAATTCCCCAGATTCATTGGAGGTCTGCGCAAGTTCATTAGTCACATTGGCGGTCAGTATAAATTTCCTAGTTTCATGGGAAGTCAGTTTAAATCTCTGTATTACATTGACGATCAATGTAAATTCCTGTTTCATGGGAAGTCAGTGTAAATTCAACCATTGAATTTCATTAGTAGTTACCATTAATTATTTGTTACAGTGGTGTTTTGTGGCAGAGGGGCCCTCTTAAATCTGTTTTCAGCGAAGTGTGTCAATCATTAGTGTTCAGTAGGAGAATGCCGTATTATACAGGTGAAACTCGAATAATTAGAATATCATGCAAAAGTAATTACAGTAAGTGCTGCAAAAGGGGCCCAAACCAAGTACTGAGTACATATGCATGCATGTACTTTTCAGAGGTCCGATATTGTTCTATGTACAATCCTTGTTTTATTGATTGCATGTAATCATCTACTTTTTTGAGGTTGCGGATTTGGGGTTCTTGGGGTTTTCATGAGCTGTAAGCCATAATCATCACAATTATGACAAATCACGGCTTGAACTATCTTGCTTTGCATGTAATGAGTCTATCTCATATATTAGTTTCACCTTTTAAGTTGCATTAGTGAAATAAATGAACTTTGCACGATATTCTAATTATTCGAGTTTCACCTGTATTTGTATCTTGGGGTGAAGGGCCCCCATTCATTGGTGTTCAGTGGTTACATACCTGAAACAGGGTAGGCTGATTCATGCATTGCATATGCTATAACTTTGAGGGTACCATCAGGTCCCACCCACAGATCTGCAAACTGGCCAGGGTAGTTTTATTCACTCAAAGTCCCCATGCTGTCATCTGCTCCTGATGTTCTAGGGCCCAATATAGGCAGAGGCAGTGTGAATCTGCCCAGCATAGACACACATTTGACATGGGTTTTCACTCTACATCCAGAAGAAAAATAAAAATAAAAAGGAAAAAAAAAACATACATACACTTCCAGTATCTCCTAAGACACCAACTCAGGACAAGTATACAAATTAAAAGTTCAATATAGCAAGATTGTTCATACAGGGGGCTTCTCATGACTGGAACTATAGAGACTTACTAGAGGTCACAATGGTCAACAAATCACCACAATCTTAGAAAAGGGCTTATCAACTTCCAAGGTTTCATCTACTGTATGTACATGCTGAGCTCTTCCTTAACCAGGTGTCTCTGCTAGAACTAGATCTCGATCTGCAATCATGCACTACATTATGGGATCACAACGGGTGCTTGTGGCTGGAACAGATGTCTTCTTCAGCAGTCTTGTAGTTATACCCTCTTCGATTAAAAAAAAAAAAAAAGGGATCCAATATGAACCAAAAGCTACTATTTCTAACCTTTCTAGATCAAGTTTATGTTTATGTGCAATACCCACTGGCGGAACTACCAGGGTCGGGACCAGGCTCTGGCGTTCCGCCACCTGGGGGGGGGGCCCAGCGAGGAAGAAGAGGCCCCCCCGAGATAGTGCCGCTCCTTCCCTGCCGCACAGCCACCTGCAGCATGTATGGGCGGCTGTGCGGCAGGGATGGAGAGGCTGTCACTGGTCCTGCAGAATGTGCTGCAGGCACCGCCGGGCAGCACATTCTGCTTTGTGAGAACCCTCTCCTCTTAGCTCTGCCCCCTGGCCACAGAGGCGAGGAAGAGGGCCCTGCAGGAGAGGGAAGGTAAGTCTAGAGTGGGAAGGGGGGGCGCGCGGGTAAGGGTGTGTGTGTAGTGCTGACTTTTATTATAATGTATTGCTGGGACTTGTAGTCCTGCATAACCATTAAAAACAAATACTTTGTAAATAAATGCATTTTTCCTCGTTAATCCCAAATGTACGTAAGCGTACTGGGTCGGCGTTAGACAGAACACCAGCACTAAAATTTTAAACAAGCGGCTGCCTGAGGTCCCGCGCTTGCTGGGGACCTCAGCAGCCTTCCTGTTAACCATGTGCTGCCTTGGGGGGGGGGCCTGAAGGTTTCTTGCACCGGGGCCCTGAAGGTTCTAGTTACGCCTCTGGCAATACTCCTACTAAAATCGTAATATAAAAAGTGCAATAATATGAAAAGAAAAACATATCTGAAGAATACTGCTTATAATAATGCTGATAATTTTATTCCAAATCAAAACAATGCAAATTTTTTTTTTTTTTTTTTACACAAAAAGTTTTACAAAAAAATCAATGTACAATCAACAATGTACAATCAAGAGGAAGAAAAAATAAACCTGAAATGCTGTATAAAGTTAGTTAAAATGTGTTTATTAGGGGTAGAAGGCATTTCTATAGCTTGGCATTGACATGAATGGCAACAAATGGATCTTCATCTGAACTTTTAATTACAAAATTGGCCAAACTGTTCTCGCTTACACTGATCTGTTTACCAGTGCAAACGTTACCTTCTTTCTGACCAGAAATGATGTCACAGTATTTGCCAGGTGAAAGTCCAGTGTAAAGAGTAACGTCCATATCCCTGAAATGAAAATACCAAATACATTTTAAATACAATTTAAAAAAACCCACATACCTATGCCTACTAAGTAAAAAATAATAAGAAATACAAATAAAAAAAGTGACGAAGTAAAAAAAATTATAAAACAATCTATAATATAAAAGTAAAAGATGAGATAAATTAAAAAAAGTAAACAAATTAAAAAAATAAAGTTATAAAAAAGTAAAAAATAAACAACAACAAAAAATTAAAACCAACCCTGCCACCCCCTCCATCTGGTTGCTATTCTCCACTAGGGGGGGTTTGGCGGGGAGGGGGCACATTAAGGAACCCAGCAGAAAGAGTAAATCCTGCCCTGCGCCTACTTAAACAATTCAAGAAAACAACAGGGTTTTCCAGAATCAAGGTGATCACTATGGGGCTGTAAAATGTTTTCAACTCTTACTGTTATCTCAGAATTTTAAAAACAAGTAAATGCAGTCCACTTCGAGCCTGCATGGAAAATGCATGGAAGCTAAAAAAAAAAATTACATTATATTGCGGGTATAAACACCCCTCAAACTCCCCTTTATTGCAGGCCCCTCAAACTGGCATAGCATATTTTCAGGTATTTAGTACAGTTATACAATACAAATACCAGTCTAGCCTAGCAGATTATGGGACCTTTAGTATGGTAGGGGACAAAGCTCATTAAGCTCATTCTAATGCATCAGTGGCACTGTCACCCTTCTGAGAGATGCTGTCTACAGATGAATGTGCTGGCCTTATTATTTCTACTGCCCAGCATGTCTACACGTGCCCTATGAAACACCTAGATTTTCTTGATTGACAGCTGTTCCAGGATCTGGACAGTGTGCTTTGCAGCATTTAGGATGTTGCATTTTCCAGACTCCTCTAGCTTTAGGGAAACTCCTAACAGCAATTAGAACTTTTTTATTACATATTGCACAAAAGCGACAAAGTTCTGCAGCTCATCTCCACCCAGAGTCCTTGCTATGCATACAAGAGACAAGCATCACTAAATACAATAAATCATTTTTTATTTACAAAATGTTGTCACACTGGCATTACTGTATGCCCTCCTTGCACTCTGCTTATTTTGTTGCCTTAGCCTTTCCATCTGTTTTAAAGGGTTGGCATGAATAATTACTCACCAATTGTCATTGTTGAACACAATAAAGCCAGCTCTTCCACGTCCAAAAGCAATTTGATTGTTTCCATTATCCCACCAGTTAATAAGAGCTTGACCATTAACAACATTACGGAAGATGACCATGTTCCTGCAGAAATGGAGGAGATTTGCTACATTACTGCCAGGTTCTTTCAGGTTCTCCATCCAATGCCTTGGTAAGAGAAAGGCTCTTCTAAACTGTATAGAACCTTAGGCTATTTGGGTGCCTTTATTTTTAATTCTGTTCTCCAAAATTTCATTTATCTTTATTTCCGATTAGCACCTAGTTGGCAGTTCTGGCTACACAGTGAGGCTGATTTACTAAAAGTGCATAGCATGTACACTTTGTAAAGAGAAAATTCACTTAGTTTAGTGAATACAAATTCAGGAGAGAAACACTGCTGTGTCTTTTTTTCTTTATTCTGACACGAGCAATGTCAGAATAGAAAAAAAATAAAAGAATGTTCCCATTGAAAAGCATTGGGACATTACTATTGGCTATTTCAATTTGCAATAGCCAATAGTAAACTAGCATTGTACCCGCCCTCTGCTGATGGACCTGATGGGGAACTGCAGCAGAGGGCGGGTACAACGCTCGTGTCAGAATAAAGAAAAAAAGACACAGCAGTGTTTCTCTCCTTGGCGGCCGGGAGCAGGAGACTCCCCGGGCCGCCAGGGAGAGTTAGCTGTTTGGAGATCAGTGTCCCTGGTTAGCAACCAGGGACGCTGATCTCTCTGAAAGTGGCCGGAGCCAGCCGTAAGATAACGGCTGGCTCCACCCAGCTGTCAGAAGTAGGCTGTCGGCCGGCCACTGGCCGGCCGCTCGGCCAGCTTCGGCTTTCAGCACGGCTCAGTCGAGCCAATGCATATGCGTTCGGCTCGGCTGAGTCGCTCGGCCATGATCGGGAGCTGTACGGGCTATAGTGAATAGCCCGTACAGCACCCCTTCGGTTCTACTGAACCGAAGGGGTCCTGAGGCCGAAGCAACGGCTTCGAAGGATCGGCCGGGGGCCGAAGGATCGGTCCTGGGGCCGAAGGATCGGCCGAAGCTAGGCCAGATCCTTCCGCAGCTTTGTGAATAGACCCCATAGTGTACCTTAGAGGAAATATAGTGACAAATGGGATAAACTGCATAATAACTAAGAAAATTACACCCCCCCTGGAAGTTCCGTTTTTACATACACATGTACCAGTGTCTTAGTTCTACTAGATGTTGTGGGTGAATGACCACATCTGATGCTGTAGTTATGCTCCACTGTGTTGGCTAAATTATATAAAAAAATTAACTGAACTTTAGCTTTAACTGCTACATAGCATCATTCACACTCGGGGTCAATTTAATGACTCTTGCAGCCTTGCAGCAGTGTGTCTTTTTGATTCAGTTCCTTTAATGTGGATTTAGTTCTCCTGCACACTTCCATGTTGCCACATTCCAAAAGGGATACCAGCTTTCAATTTTCAAGTAATAGTATGTTTTGCATAGTAACAAAAAACAGTATTGGATCATCCGTAAGATTTCTGTACTTTCAGGGCAATTTCCATCCCACACAAGCCTTCTCTTGATTAAAAACTAAATTAGCAGCTAGATATATATATTTTGATTGCCAACATTTATTTTTCACTAATTGTTAAGCCTGCGTGGTACAGGTTTATAAACTTTATATTCTAAAGGTCAATGCATCTCTGAATGCAAATATAGTAACTTACTTTATCTGACGCCACCTGTGTTCACAAACCCAGCCACTGCCACAAGTTGTATCTTCATTAATTGTGACAGCCATGGTTGACCCATTATTGTAGCTTGGAGGTCCAACCCAATCATTAACATCCTGCAGATAAACAGCATCATCATTTTAGGGTAATTGTTTATTACTTATGGACCTAGTTTTAACATCTTTGCGAGGGAGATTAAAAAACACAACTGTTCTGATAGCCAGCTGTATCTTCTCTTCCATTTCCATAGCTATACTGGGTAACAACTTTTCTTTAGTTTGGATGAATCAGTTTGATATACTTTGTTTTAAAATGGCTCTCAATGTTTTGGGATCTCTGTAGTAGACACTTGCACCAGTTAATCAAGTGATAACACAAACTGGCTTATAGTCAAAAAAATGTCTTCACATAAGTGAGTTCTATTTACCTTTAGGAATAAGACTGAGATTGGCTGATAGATAATGGAAGAACTACATTTTTATAAAGAATGTGGATGAAATGGATACAGTGCATACAAAAATCCAGCTTTTTTGTGTATTCTATTTTCAGATGGAGAAGTGGGTGAACTGCATTTGAGATGTATATATTCAAATGATAAAAGGTTTACCTTTCCATTTACAAAGTTCCTTGGCCAGCGAAAACTTGACATGATTTGTGTAAATCCATAAGGATGTGCCAACATGAACCCAACTGCCATTTTGTGTAAGCTGATTTCCGGAAAAGAAATAGTTATTAAAATTGTGTTTTGGGCATCTAATAAAAATAAAGCATCTATCAAGATAGAACATCAGTTTTGTAAATATTTATATTCATGTATTAGGAACAGTTACCTTTTGATGTCATGACAGGCATCGTAAAAAGAAGCATACAGTTTAGATAACTGTTGATTGTAGATTTGGTGGGATTACTAGTATAAGTTTAAAAGCTTTGTAGAATGGATCCACATTACAAAGCCTTGGTGCTAGACAAGTGTCCTGCTTGTTGCCTTTCAAGTAAAAGTTGTGAGCTGTCCTGGTCAGTTGTTTTTTCTGCCAATTCAGTTAGCAGATGTAGGTGTAGGTTTTGTCTCACCATGTCTAATTTAATATTTGTAGAATGGATGGGTCTATTTTATGTACCTCAATGCAAGACTGATATCCCTGTTCTATTTGGGCAAGAGAAGTCTTCCTTTCCTCTTTAACCACTTGAAGACCAGGTACTTACACCCCCTTTCTGGCCAGGCCATTTTTCAGTCTTTAGCGCTGCAGTACTTTGACTGACATTTATTCCATCATGCAATGCTGTACTGAAATTAATTTTATACAATTTTTTGGGGTCAGATAGAGCTTTCCTTTGGAAGTATTTATTCACCACTGGGGTTTTTATTTTTTACCATAGTAAGGAAAAATTACTGAAAATTTTGCAAAAAAAAAATGCTTTTTTTACATTATGTTAAGAAACAATTATTCTTATCCATTTTTTTGGTAAAATATAAAAGATGGGGTCACATCAGGTAAATAGCTACCAAAACTGTCAGGCCTTAAAATTGCGTGCACCTGCGAAATCGTAAATAGCTACCATACCCAAAATTGACCATAGGCCACACTTTAAAAGCATTTACCGCTCATCAGTGATTGATGGCCCTAAATTGTTTACTCTCACTGCAATGTTCACGGTGATATGTAACATGTGCGGCGTAGTGGGTGCACTCATTGTTTTAGCACGTATGCGCACCCGACGCATGTTTGCACGCGTGTATGTATGGGTGGAGACTTTAAAAAAAAAATTGTGTTTTTTAAATTCTTTTTCATGTGTGACTTTTTTCTTTTTTGCTATTTTTTTTCACTTAACGTTATTGTTATCACATAGGGGCTAAGAAACCCTCTGTGATAGCAAAGAGATGTGACAGGTCCTCTTTATGGAGACATCCGGGGTCTCTAAGACCTCTTAATGTCACCCAGAGATCTGCTTCATCAGCTTCTCTCCAGCTTCTGAAGCCGGAGAGTGACACAAGAATGTGGAAGTGATGTAATATACATCACTTCCGCATTCTGACACCGGAGAGGTGATCGGAGGGAGATCATGTACTGATCTCCCTCTAATCTTGTCACAGAACTACCATGCTGGTCTCGAGCTTACACCGTGCACAGCGGAGCTCGGGACCAGCGGAGCAAAGGGCGATCTGACGGGGACCAGCGGACAGGGGGGGTTGCACGAACGGCACCTTATAAAGCTCTATATCCAGCGGTTCGCTTGCATGTAAACAGGCATTGCTGCCTGTTTTTAAGTTCGGGCAGTTTCCCGCTCGTGTGCGAGTGGGCAGGGCCAACAGACCAGGAGGCTCCCGGCCGGCCGTTTTTCAGGGCCGGGAGGAGGTTAAGGCAGGAGACTAATTGGATGAGTTTCCCACAGAAGAATGTGGGAGGTATCTGGGTTTTAGTTATGTGCAATGTATTCTTGAAGGTATGTTTGAAAGGCTAAGCAGGTGGAGGGATTGGCCAATAAGGAGTCGTTGCATGGTCTGATCAAGGGACAGAGCATATGTGAGAATAAGACAAGCACCAAAAAAGGGGTTTAAACAAAGATGTGATTGATCCTGGCAAAGACATTGTGAATAAAAGCTATATTCTTGTTTGTTGGGGTTTGGTTTACAAGCATGTCCCTATAGTCTTTAGAGAAATGCAGATGAACTGGAGAGCCTGTGGTTATATATGTGGATGCATAGTTTGAAACTATAGTTATCTTGGTATCTTGCTGTAGGCTAGTAAAGAGTGAGTATGGGGGGTTCACATAGACTATCACCCACAAGCAACTGTTTTTTTTTTTTTACATGTGGTGTGATGTAATTACATTCATCCCAGATTGAAATTACCCTTGCTGGAATACTTAAAGATGCAGCAAGTTTTTTTTTTCATTATTATTAACCTAACAAACATGGTTGTAAATTTAGTCTTGGGCACTGTAAGCTAATAAACTCCACATAATTAAAGAACATACCATGTGTACTGTGTATATAGCATGTACCCTAGACATTAACAAGTATGCTTTACCGAGCATCCCAGAAGGTAAGTATGGAGGCTCCTCCAGCACCATGTCCTCTCTGGTTGTCATGGTTATCAACAAACACCAAGGCTCTGTCACTCTGCATGAATCCCCAGCCTTCTCCCCAGTTCCTGTATGACAAAAAAGTTGTACATGAAAACATCTTATAAGAAATGCTTTCTGTGCACTTAGTTTCCTACCCCAAGCTTACTTCAAATAAGACATCTTTTCTCCATTCAATTTGCGGATGACATTTCCAAGTTTGGCCCCGTATTTGAACTCTGTGACACGTCCAATGCCAATGTATTCATTTACAGAAAGAGCTTCTCCACCCAGATCAATTACCTGCAAGATAACCATTTTAGTTTCCAGACCAGATCCAGCTCAAATAAATTTCTATTTTCACACTCAAGCAATACAAGACATGGTGAAAATGCTTACAGAGGACCTTTCATGAGAAAAACATATTGCCTATCTGGTAGTTCCGCTGCCCCTTCCCTAGTGTAACTATGGGTTTAAAAAAGGAGCACATTCTTGTGATAAGGGGTCATCAGCCTTCCCAGGAGGATGCAGTGAGGCTTGTTGATATCACCTCTACAAATGGACTAGAAACCTTGGTTTAAAAGGTAAGGATAATTTTTGCTAATTATTTTTTTAAATGCCTACTGATTTTGCATGGGAGAAATGGTGGGCTACAGACAGACAGTAGTTTATTGTTCCTGAAATGTCTGCTTTAAATTTCAAATGCTAAGAGCATCCCTTCCATCTCCATTCCAAAAAGAACACTACATGAAATACTGCATTTGATTCGATTTTTCACTATAGTCATACACCAGTTTCAAGCATGACTTTTAATATATCTAATTTTTTTATGGAACACACATTGGAAGATGCACAAAAGATTCAGTTCTTTAGCAATGTTGCATGTCTAATCCCCTGACTCTTCTGTCAGTTAATCTTCTATATGAAAAAGATAAGACTTCCATGAAGGAATGTGTGCACCCAACACAGCAATGGGAAATAATACTGATTCACAGAAGTAGAGTTGTAAGTCCTATGTTTGCAATATGGTGCACCTTACCTTTAGTTTGCTTTCTTTAAAGCTGAACTCCTACCAGACACAAGACAAAGGATTGCAGTTCTGTATTCATTAGTAAATTAATAAATATATATTTGTGTAACTGCTGTAAGTACCTCACTATGACTTGGTATGGGACTTTTGCAATCCTATATACAGCAATGCTGAGCCTGAAAGGGTAAGGGGCAGACATGGGAGAAAATTGGGTATGCTGCATGCAAAATGTTTTAAGAAAATGCTGATAGAAGGAGAGTACAGCAAGCAGAGGAATGACCTCTGTCTCCTACTGCTCCTTCACTGTCCAATTAGCAGGCTGGTGGTACCTAAGGACACCACTGTATCCTTTGAACAGTCTATAACTGAAAAAGTGGTGTCATTCTTCTTGTAGTTTGTTATGGCCAGGCTGTGTAAAGCTCAGAACTGGATAAACAGAAATACAAGTATTTTGGAAGGGAAAAAACAGCTTTCATGTGCATTTCATCTGCGTACTTAGCCATTTGCCTTAGATTAAAATTTAACATATGTGGTGTTTCAAATGTCCATGATATGTAGCACTACAGTCAATTTTGCAAATCCAAAATGATCCAAAAGCATAAAAATGTTTTACAACCTGATCTATTCATTGTTTTCAAGCTAATCTTCTAACCCCATACTTCCACAAAGCAATAACTATTTTCTGGTACTTGGTACCTTGGTACCAGTACTAAATGAAGCACTACACAAGAGATGAACAAGTGCCAGGAGCTCGGTAGCTAATGTGCAAAAAAAAGTAGTAAAGCTGGCACTAACAAACAGATTCCCTGGCTTCTTAAACTGAAGCTGCCATGACAGATATATTGTAGTGGTCCCTTCCGACTTAACAGGTACTTCCAACTTAGCTGGCTGAACAGTTCTGGTTCAGTAATTAAAAGGAATGCGAATGGAGGATGACGATCTTTACAGTGGCACTAAACTCAGAAGTAAAATCTTAAAAATGTATTTAAGTACCTTAACTATGAACAAGCATGTATCTTATTAGTGCATCACTCAGCTGTAGAAACTCAAATTATCTTTGAATTTGTGCCAATACTGTCCTTCCTTCTAGAGGGTGACAACTTTTGCTCCTAATGGTTCCTGTGTGTGTTCGAAAGTAGCCACCGCTCCAAGCTCACTCCTGTGATTGACTACAATCTCATGTATAGTTTTCTAATTTGTATTGAGATTGTGGTCCATCACAGGAGTGAGCTTGGAGAGGTGGTTACTTTACAATACACACAGGGACGATGAGGAACAAAAGTAGTCACCCTCCAGAAGGAAGGACAGTGTCAGTAACAATTCATAGATGATTTCAGGATCTACAGCTGAGTGATACACAAATAGGATACATTTTTGTTAATAGTTAAGGTACGTGAATGCATTTTTAAGATTTAACCCCTGAGTTTGGTGTCACTTTAAAGATTTGGCACAATATGGCATTGGCAGCACCCATAGTTCTTTAACAGCACGTGTTCCAACTGTTTTTTTATATGTGTGTTTTATTATAATAGATACATTTGCAACTGGTAGAGCACAACAGTGTTTTCCGCTAAACATACTTCCTGGTAGATAAAAGGCTGTGTGCCATTGTGGAACCATCTAGTGTTCAAGTCGTTCAGTTTCCTGTTAACTGCCAGAATATCTCCAGGCCACATATGCTTAGCTGCATCCACCCTGAAGCCAGCTACTCCAATGTCAATAAGAACATTCAAATAATCCGCAATCTTCGATTGAACATATTCTTTTTCCAGTGCTAGGTCCAGGAGACTCACCAGCTGACAGTCTCTCACCTATGTGTATGCAAGATTGTGAAGAGATATTTATGTTTATTGTGATTAATGCTGTAAAGTAAGTATTTAAGAAAAATGTAAAAAAATATATATAATGTCACACACACACAGCCAGTCAATTTAACTGTAATGGTAGGAGGTTTAAATGTACAAGTTGTAAGTTATTGACCAAGATCTAACATAAAGCAAAATCAACTTTCTCGTGTTTATTGTATTACTATTAATTTTAGTTAAAATCAAAAATGATATTAAAATCCTGCAGAAACTGCATATAGTATTAAATCATTATGTTATATCAAATCTACTATAAAAAGGTACATTTGGAGAAAAACAAAATATTTTATCTGTCAAGCATGGTGCTAGAGCTTCTGGGTTGTGTGGCAAACAATAGCACAATAAACATTTACAGGGTTTTCACTAAAGGGTGAAGAGTTTGGAGAAGGCAGGAGAAGTGAACAATCTAGGACAACATAGCTCAATTGGAACATGAGCTAATTTGGAGAATTTTTCCAAATCAGCTATTTTGGTCTAGATTGATCACTTTTCCTGCCTTCTCCAAACTCTTCACCCTTTTGTGAATAACCCTGCTAAAGTATGGTTTCTGGCAATGCTCAACAAAAAAGTGAAAGCTCCAAGGTAAGAGTAGTTGGATATTCTAACAAGAAAATGATCAAATACACACCTCAAAATCAACCATGAACTACTTCTAGAAAAAAAGATCGGAGGATGGAGGCTCGGATTCTTGCAAAAGGGAAGAAGTACTAACCGACAAGTTGTTCAAGCTTGATTGCAACAAGTTTTCTTGTTTTAAAAAGGAGAACTACGGGGCAAACTTACCCATAGTTCCCTTCAAGGTCACAGGACGACATATACTTATGTTCCCTGGTGTATTGCCCACTATATGCTGAGAGCACAAAGCTGCACCACAGCTGGGGTGGATCAACAATATTGTCGAGATCCACCCCGCTGGCTGATTGAGAGCTGGCTCTGCCTCTCTAGAGGCAGAGCCAGCTGTGACCACCCCCCCCCCCCCCCCACACCCACACTCGCCAGTCAGG